ATCCAATGCAGAAAAATAGGAATAAATGAGAATTAATATCTTTAATTATAGTCTCATTTATATCTTTAATTATAGTCTCATTTATATCTTTTCTTTACCAAAGTTGTCGTTAAGAACACTTCATTATCTACTGCACATCATTATCAGTTAAACTTAACGGATTTAGACTACCATTACAAAAATATCCATTTTATCTTATAAATCCAAGTAGCGAAGGCATTAATCGGCAAACATTAAACAAAAAAGTTTTGAAGAAATGTGAAAATATAGTAAAACCACAACAAAATTCAAGTTTCAACTCTCAGGTTTGTCTCTGTATTTGTACTAACTCCAGGATAAAAACGGTGCAATTACATAAAAAAAAATATTAGCAGAAAAAGAAAAAGAAAAAGAAAAAATACAAATACATCATTGGTCCTCAAGCTTTTCCATTCATAATCAAACCTTTATACAAATCCATGGTACTCTTAAGGTATGTTGTCTATTCAAATTCAATTGTTATCAGCTATGACTAGTGGAACGGTGTAAATACTTATAGGACAAGAGCTGTGCATGGAAAGACTCCAGTTAATTTATATGTGAAAGATATAATTTGTAAGAGAGGCCACATGTAGCTGAATTCTAACCCTTTTAATGTTAAGATTGCTTCATGGCCCCTAGAAAGAGACTCAAGATAAAGAATATCTTAACATTACCTCATTTACTAATCACATATTAATCTAAACCAACGGTCTTCAAGCTTTTTTCCGGCACGACCTAGTCTGGTTTTATACAATACTTTCACGACCCAGTATGTCCATTCTGTTGTACTCGAACGTGAGTGTCCCTTCCCCCTACCCTCGGACTCTGTCAGTCTGCCTGTCTCCCTTTTTCTCATATCTATGATATTATTATTATTATTATTATTATTATTATTATTATTATTATTATCATTATCATTATCATTATCATTATTATTATGATTACTATTACTGTTATTATCGTTATTATTATTATTGTTATATCATAATGTACAAGTTACTGAAAATTAACTTACGCCCCAGTACTGGTTGCGACCTGCACTCTGAAGAATCCTGGCCTAAACTCATGAATAGGTTTTGTATTCTACGGTAATGATTTAAGACAAAAAGTCTCTAATCAAAGCAAACAAAAAGTAGAAACGCATGGCCACAATATCACCATTAGATCCCTCTGGCGTATCCCAACTACTTCAATACTTTGCCGAATATGAAGGTCTGCTAATGGTAGGTCTTCGCGATGCCTGCTCGGGTCCTGACAAAGACCGAAGAGTAGCGTCGTCTTCGGAAGAAAAACTTGTGTCGCCTGGAGGAGGAGGAGGAGGAGGAGGAGGAGGAGGGTGAGTGAGGGGCTCTATCACGGAAAGCTGAGTAGGGTAGGGCGGCAGAGAGGAATAGGGAGGGGGCAGGTCGGAAGGCTGGAGCAGGAGGGGTGAGGACGGGGCGCTGCGGCTCCAAGCAAGGTCCTTAGACTTCAGTCCTAGATGCTGTGCCTCCGATGATCTGTATTCAAAGGAGATATTTGGAAAAAAGAGCTTTGAATAGAAAATCAATTCAAAATTACAATATAGAGAGAACAAATATAACACATAAAAGTGAGACGTCCAAATTAGACCACCAGAATTACAGAGAAAATACCACCCGACGCTTTACCTCAAATCCAGTGACGAATTGGCCGGCGGTTCGGGTGTAAAGTTCTCCGTCGGCTGATGGGCGTGACTTTCCGTGGGTTGGTGGGCGCTCGTCTCCAATGGGTGTTGAAAGACCACGGAATCGAGACCATACAAACTGCCCAGGATGGATATACGTGTCTCTGAAGTTATTTGCTGCAGTTGGTGCTTCTTCTGTTTTTGACTGTGGAAAAAAGTTTATTGCAGTTACGTGCTTTTGTGGATTTAATCCGAATATATCAATTTCATAAAAAAAAACTATAACTAGAAATATAGGAATACAAATAAACAACTATTTAATGGTGATAACCAGTTCTTCCACCAACATCTGGACGCATCTCACAGGCGTTTTCTGTCCAAAAACTACTCATCAGTTTGAATTCACTTGATAAGAATTAGTAAATGATACCAAAGAACAGACTTTGACAATAAATGTGAATTACAGATATATGCAAAAACCCTTGATGACATCAAAAGAGAAGATTGAATCTGTCTGACGATAAACTGACTGATATTTTACCAGATACATTTAAATTTTCGGACGAAATTTGTTTTATAGACGGCAACAGAGACGCAGTAAATTATCCGGGGTATTATGGAGAAATTTTAGAGTTGAGTCCCATTATTTTGAGCCAGAGGTCACGGTGGCTCATTTCAATATATAGTGTCCATGTCTTGAAACCTCTTGAATACTGTAAAAAATACTGATACACGCTTATATGTATACACACACACACACACACACACACACACACACACACACATATATATATATATATATATATATATATATATATATATATATATATATATATATATATATACACACACACACATATATATACATACACACACACATAAGCGTGTGTGAGTATTTTATATAGTATTCAAGAGGTTTCAATATGTATAGATTAATATAAAGAGAGAGGAAACAGAATATGAAACAAAATGAAAACA